TCATGCGCTTTACAAAGATTTTTTAATTTCTTAACAAGTCAATATTTAATATATGCACCCTTGTCAATATTTTACGCATCTTTGCGTTCAGCTTAGTGCTAGGGCATTCAAATTTTAACAATACGTTATTTCAATGGTTTTGCGGGTTTTGTGGGACACCCTGTATAGGAATCCCTTGGGAATCGGTTGAGAATTACTTCATTAACATCACTTTTGTTGTGAATATGGTCACATTGGTTATCCTCACTGATTTCAAATATATGGCGGACTGTCATGAATAGCGAACACTGATTGGTCAAATTTAAAATTTGCATTATAAGATTTATAACGACTGCATGGCGACAGTGAAATAGCAAACATTTCTTGATTTGATGATTTCCTGCAAATATGTTTCATTTTTGCAAGATTGTTTACTGATTATAATTTCAAAAGCGTTTTGAGAAAATAAGGGCGAAACGGAATTGCGGCTAAAAGAAGGGAGTAAAGGCACCGACGTTAACGAAGGTAAGTTTGTTTTAAATATTGATGTACGTATTGTTCGCTTTATAATTGCTTTAAAAGCTGATCGTTGGCGTTGCGTATATTTTAAATGAAAAAAAAACAACATATAATTTCAACATATAAGTGTTTCTTTATTGGCTTTATTGATTACCCTTTTTTATTATATCAAAATTTTTAAATAAAAAAAAGAAAAGTTATTTGCCAATGCGAGAATTTGAAATAATTTTATTTCAAACTCAAAGTGTTTCGATAAAGTCATAAAATTAAAGGCAGTTTAGTTTTATAAAGAACATTTTAAAACGTCTTGCGAAGCGTTTGAGGTTGCATTTGTTGAAGCTTATAAAGTTATAATACATATAAGGCCCATATAATAATTAACGTAGGCCTACCTAACATATATATGTTTGGGGGAATTGATAATTTTGTAATTAAAAGTGATATTTTTAGAAGATTTTTCATTTGTAAAAATATTCTTAACAAAATTATCGTGTTACCATGACAACTACTTTAATTAAATACTTCATGTTCGGAAAATACAATGATTTTGTCAGCAAGCCAAGGGGTTTCTGCATGCATGTATTTTCTAGTATAGTTTGTAAATTTTGAGCATGGCACAATTTATTCCGAGTCAATAGGTTTTTCTAATAGATATAAACCACAAACAGAAAGGCGGAATATGGCCAACTAGAACTGCCCAGCCATTTCCCATGCATAAGCCTTAATATTATACCTCAAATTCAAATTGTCCAATAAAAGAACAGCATTTGTATCACGTGACAATGTGATTTTTTATGGTATTTCACTCAAATTCATGATTTCGCAATGCAGCGTGAGATACTATAATATCCCACGGTAGATCAACCGTGGGATATTATAGTATCTCACGCGTCACGCTCTCACACCACGCTCTGAAACAATATGACGTTCGCGAGCTCATTGTTTGTAATTTCGTACAGGAGATTTATTGATTTACTGTAACCAAATATTTTCAAGACATATGTTACCTTCAATGATCCAAAGAATACATGCTCAAATATTTCAAAGAGAAAACGTCAAAACACAGGTATACATGCATAAGAAATTAAAAATTGTATTTTAAAGTTTATTCTGAACTTAGTGGTTTCTTTTACTTTCAGTATAGTATATCATTTATAGACTCTCCGCTCGGCGGATTCGTCGAAACATTACCCTCAGCGATGATATTTCATAAAATATCATCACTTCGTCTTCGGGTAATATTCCGCCGAACCCCCCTCGCTCCGTGTCTATATAAATGATAAAAATCCTCCCTGCAGTAAACTATGTAGAACCCGATATCTTTAAGACTGTGTTACCTATGGCCTCTCGATAAAAGTTTCTCTGATGATAACAATGACTTTGAATTAAAATTGTGGCTTCGACAGTACGTGATTTCAATTGCCGCAATAAAGTTGATCTGCTCACCAAACTTTCTGGACTTTCTGGTTACATTGTTCAAGCAAAACAAAATTTCGAAAAATATGCAATAAAACAAAGATGATCTCTTCTTTAGTAATTAAATCTGCAAAGCAATGAATACTTTTCAAGTAACATTCAATTAAACTATGGATCGTAGACACACTGGATATAGGAAACACATGATCACGCATGCCGTTTTGAAATTTATAATATCAGTTTAAAAATCCAAAATAATTCCACAATTAGCTATAATACAGCTGAGCATTTTAGTTAAAAACGTAAGAATACAACCATGTCATGCTGCGATGAAATATCTAAAATTAATTAATATTGTTGGTCAGTTTCAGAGAAAGTATCAACCATTATATATAGACGGTGAAACTATGATACTCGTCACAAATTTCAATTTGGATCTAATTAATCGCCGTGACACCAATAACACTGTGTCGCCGGGGCGACCGCCCCCCCCCCCCCTCCCCCGCAACCTTCACGGAAAATTGCCGAATTTTTGGAGATTTTGACCTAAAAGAGAGCAAGTGAATTTCCGCCACTGATACTGTGTCATCATGCTTCCAATCCTCTTCAAATGGACTATTTCAAATTTGAATCGTGAGTGTGGACAGCCTAATATCAATATAATCAACAATCGCGCAGGTCCTGGATAATTTTTCCACATTCTTGTCGTAGTTAGAACAGTGAGCATCCTATATCTTGCACAACAAAAAGTATTTTCTACTATAATTATGTTTTAATTAAAGATCATTGATCATTAATTATATTAATTTTTGAATTTGAGGGGAATACCGGGTTGTATGTAAGACTAAAATTGCATTGAATACCTTTTCATCATACGTTTATTTCATACGAAACTGTACAATACATGATTTGATACCATTTTTTGGCCGCAAAGCAGCGACTGAGAACCTCGCCCGACAGTCAACATGGATCCCTTTTCCATATAATGTCTCATTTTGCACCAAAGGGAAAAGGAACATATTGAAATACTATCGGTTTTAATTGTGTTTGCTTTTTAGATTGAAACTCCATCAGGCCAAATAGAAACTGCCTGTCACGGTTGTTCTCTCACTAAAATATAACTGACACAGTACATCAATCAACATGGAAATTACAAGTAGTTGTTGGAAAAATATCTATGATATAATTCATTCGCTTACCAAATGTATTTTAATAACAATGCATGAATGCAAAAATATTTTGTCAATGCATGATGACCAATATCCCTGTCTGCCTATATAATCTAGATACATGCAGGTGAGGTGAGGTGAGGTACGTGATAGATGAAATAAGAATTACATGTTATATCTGTTGTATACTGGTTTGAAATTATTCGATAAAATTTTCAAATGAACTCGATCGTGATTACAGTAGCATAATTTACAAGTTCCGTTAGTACGATTTCATTCCAAATAAATTATATCCGTATCGGAATTTGCACACTCGGCCAATTATCTTTGTGTGTCTCTTTGTTGAATTTTTGGGCACGGTATACAGACATTAATTTTTTGGCATGAAGGAATCATCCAATATGGTCTTGAATCACTCGCTCAATCGTACTGATCATTCAAATATTAATAAACTAGCAAAATTTCAACGGATTGGCACACAGTGAAGTCGTCTCAGCATAAACTGCTAGCTCATTATGGACGGTTTAAAGTTTGTCAAGTTTCCAAAGCGTACCAGAGCATTTTTTAGCTCTATCACTACTGTGGCATTTACCCAAGTAGTCACGCAAGCAAGATTTTTGGAATAGCTGGGTCCTATTTATCATCAATAAAAAAGCTCTGCATGCATGAAAGCTGAGAAAGCTGCATCTGTCTGATTTTTCATATTCTCCGGCTACATTCTCAACATCTTATAAACATCAGCACATAATGGTCTGGTCGTATACGTAACTGTGTGGGGAAAGGCCTTCATTAAGACTTTGCCCCAGTAGTTGTTATTCCTTAAACAATGTCAATGCTCTGGATCGTGCATGCATATCTCTATACTGACCTTGATCACACTAAGTAAGTTCCATTAAAAAGAAATTAAACTAGGCAGGTAAGTTAAGCGAAAAGAATAAAATTTGCATATAAGAAGAGACTTTTCATCAAAATAAGTAGAACAGATATTTACATTGACCATTTGCAACGACGTACATGCATTGCACGGTTTTGATGAAACGGGAAAATAGGAGGCGTCTGCGTTGTTCGTCTCAAAGATTATTGTATCCTTTTAATTATTCTTTTATTGAATGTACACAGTCTTCGAGACGCATCTTTAGAATGAGTGTACATCATATTTACCCACACAAATTGTACTCGCTAGACCATATCGTATATAATTGGACATAGTACAAAACATGGACTGAACCTGTGGACTCATGACTTGCGGACTCAAAATTCAAAATTCGACTGAAATTTCGAAAGCCGCAAAACTGGCGTGGACTTGATTTGAATATAAAAATATCGTAAAAATAGACAGTGAAGATACCACAACAGTTATATTCATTACAGCTTCTACCTGATAAATGCCTGCGATCCCCTAAGGTCCCCTCACCGAGTAAACATGGTATAACAAGAAAAGCGACTGACTAAGAAGCTGCTCACTTTTATAAATCTAATCATTTCTTTATTTTTACTTGTTAATGTTACGACAATATTTATAACGATCTTGCGAATTTTTATATTGAAATCAAGTCCAGTTTTGCTGTTTTCGAAATTTCAGTCAAGTTTTGAATTTTGAATCCACGAGTCCACAAGTGCAGTTCATGTTTTTGCTATAGCATATAATTGTAGTGACAGTTTGCAAATTTGATTAAAATTCGAATTGATTTGACTCGTGCATGTTGAAAGAAACTCATCGAGTCATCGTGTTATGATTGACACCAAGCACGAGCCTACAAGTCAATATTCATTTAACAAGTACGTCATTTTTAGGTTCGATGCTGTACAGAAGAGATAAACAAAACTTATTAATGAAAACAATGCGAATCACTGGAACGTGACCATAACTGCGATATAGGTTTCAATCCTAAAACGTCATCAGTATTCAAACATTAACTGAAGGTTGAGTGAGCATATGAGATATATTATCCGTCTTTAAACGTATACATTATCTCGAAGAAGCTCTATATAGGAACTTCGTACAGATTGGCGTGCTTACCGTAACTGAAACTATCAACTGGGATAGATTGTGGGCATTGTTGATTTTTCAAGCCGATTTAGCAGATATAAGGTTTGTTACTTCTTAAATACATGCATATATACTGATCACAGAATTGACCGAAATAATATTATTTGTGTTACATGAAATTGTTAATGCATTGATTGCATGCCATCTGTTCCAAAACCATGTTCAGTATATTTTACAGCACAACTGCGTCAGCTACTTGCTAATTTGCACAATATAACACAGATCAATGAGAATTCAATTCCTTTACTTATACTGCAGAACTTAAACTTACACCGGACGTGATCATGCAGTTGCACGACAAATCATAACTGAGCGCGCTTTAAAACAAACTACAGCAAATATTGACTAATGAGTTCAATGTATATGGAACTTGTATTACTAACTTTTTCGGAAAGGAGTATAATTCCTACACTGTAGTATTTATATCATGTAAACGCGTTGGTATGCGCCGAAGAAAAGGTCAGCTAAGTTATCCATGCCATGGCTATCCTTCGCCTCCTACATCTTAATTAAATCTCTACAATATATTTACGCTAAATTTGTAAATATATTGTAGAGATTTAAGACGGAGGAGAGGTTAAAATTGATATTCATTGCCTAAAGTGATTTCCAAGTACCTAACTATAAATTACGTCCACGTCACGACAATCGTTTTCAAATTCGAAAATGTCCGTCAGTCACAAAAACGGCCATATTTTTCCTCAAAAATCCATTCCTTTCTGCAGCAGTATACGTATACATCTCATGTCCAACGTCCACTACAGCAACCTGCTAGATATACATAGCGCAGCAACTATTGCATGTTCCCGAACATTGTCATTTAATTAACATGGCTCATTGTTTAGAGGGTGGTAAAAGGTATGTTCGCGTGAACCGTGAAGTGTTCAATATTTGTTCTCGTGAAATCTGAAATGACGGATTTTTTACCGTGAGTCGTGCGATTGCCAGTATAATTTTTTCCACCGAAAACGAGAATTTATTTGTGCATGCCAGTAGAACAAATTAGACTGCATGGACGAGTATAGTGAGAAGTGCGAATGTGAAGAAGTTATAGGCCAAAATAGTAATATAGAGGGATGCTTTCGAGTCGATCGGATGTAACAATTTTACAGCATGCATGTATTGTTACTATAGATAGGTATATCGGTTAAGTTGGTTTTACAGTAAAAGTCTCTCAATGTTAAGAAATACAACTCAAGATGCAAATTCAAATTTATACAATTGAAAAGTTACGTACTTTTTATTTAAATTTTTAGGTCAATTTTTAACATGTGAAACGTGATTTGGATATTTTTTCTTGTGAAAAGTGATCCAAATCGCCTCCCTTCTACGGTCCTCCTTCTAATATAACTATAGCAAACCGCAAACGAAATAAAATTGTATCCCCATATCAGTGGTAGGCCACATTCTTTGTCTAAATAATTTATGATCCAAAAATAATTTTCCTTTACATTAATTTTTCAGTTTCAGAGCCATCATCAGGGAAACATGATACAATATATTCAGGAGAAAAACACTGCGTTGTCAACATAAAGTTACCTTAAGCGGGATATGAACTCGCATATATTCTTCAGTCATAACTTTATGTTAATAACGCAGTGTTGCCTGAAAATTTATATTTTCCGAGCTCTTGAAATATTAATACTATGCGGTTTCTTATCTTTCATTGCTCGTGTAAAATTGACTATAACATGATATTAATAGGAAATTACACTTGTTCTCGAAGTATTAATGAAAAATCACACTTGTTTTGGCGAAATATTTATAATACCGCTCGTGCTACGCACCGTGTAATTTCCCGTACGAATACATAAATAAATAAAAATACATGAAATGTAGCAACCCCTCTCTTTTTTATGAACAATATCATGATTGAAAACTGAAAATAATAGTGGCTGCCATAGTATTATATTATTTTTGTAAATACAAAATTCATGCAAAACAGGACTGATTATTGAAACGGATCTTTTTAACTGCAGAACGTTTATTTTCAAAATCTAGAATGCAGTTTTATGTTATTTTTGTATTCAATAAGCTTCAATTTAAAGTGTACATGACATGAAATTCTCTCCCCAATTTTTATACCGCTTAAAGTCACCTTGAAAATGATGAAGAATGGCCTTAATAATTTATTCACTGTACAACTCATCTCGTTCCCAAGTTATCGGGCATTTTGTAATTTTGTGTTATGACGTCACTAGTTGTGTTTAAGATGGCAGTAAAAAGAAGAAAATCTAATATCTCAGAAGCGAATCAACGTATACTTAAATGAAATTTGGTACAGTTTGTAAGTGCACCCATTCTCGTACCCAGAGCCCTTCTTACGTGCGGTGCGACGAGGGGCTCTGGCCAAGTTCATAACCGGATACCATAAAAACATGGTAAGAAAACAATGTCCGGTGTTAGAACTAGCCAATCAGATGCCAGTTCGGAATATGGATTTGGCCAGAGCCCCTCGTCGCACCGCGCGTAAGAAGGGCTCTGGGTACGAGAATGTAAGTGCACCTAGAAAACTTACGTGGCTGTCATAGCAACACACTTGTTACCAGGTCCCTCTCTCTTTTTCTATTTTAGTATTCTCTGCCGTAAACACCTTAATTTGGAACGAAAATGTTATTTAATTCAATAGTTTATAGTGACCACGGCACCTGGAACGATAATAATAAATGGAATCACATAATTCCTTTTTTCTTGTTGGAAGCAAAGAATTAGACAAATAGGACAGAGCGACCTGGTAGCTAGTGTGTTGCCATGATAACCACATAAACGTTCCAAAATGTTTGCTTAGGTGTATTTACTAACTGTACCAAATTTCATTAAATTTCGTTGAATCACTTCTGACATATTAGACTTCCTTCTGTTGCTGCTATCTTAAGCACAACTAGTTACGACATAACACAAAAATACAAAATGCCCGATAACTTGGGCACGAGGTAAGTTGTGAATAAATTAATAGCGAGCTTAAGCAAGTAACGTTTTTGCTAACACGGACGTCAGATTGTCGAGGGGGGACTGGATTAAAAACTGTGTTTGTGTCAGTTTGTGGTAATCTTCAACATATATGACAAAACATAATATTTTCAAAGTTTTTTACTTTCTTATCACGAGCGCCATGATGCAAAATGCCGCCGAAATTAGTTATACCAATTTTCGGGTGATGTCCATGTCGACAAAAACGTGGCTTGCTTGAATTCACTATTAAGGCCATTTTTCATAGGTACTTTCAAGTGATGTATAAAAATTGGAGTGAATTTTTCATACCATATGTGCACATCTGGTCAGCTAGGGAAATGAAAACTCCAGTTTAATTTGCTATCAAATATTCAAATTAGTTGACTCGAAAATACGATAAAATATGCCTGGGCCAATGATAATAGATCGATGAACTTTCCTTAACCGAGCGGGTTTATTACCCTTGGTATTAGTTTGGGAACTAATTAATTGACTGCAATTTCCGCCCAGGGGCGGATCTAGGGGTGATCAGAGCGATCACGCGACTAAGGTAAAAATTGGGCAGAAAATTGTTAAATTAAAATAGCAGTCCAGTTATCAAACTTCACGTAGTGTATTGTATTGAAAGTTTAACAGTCCAGTTCTAAGATATCATCCAGTAGCAAGGCCTTCGAACATGAACGCGCAGAAAAGCGGTCTTACGCATGAGTTTTGCACGCTCTGAGTCAGATTCCAGCCATCTGATTGGCTATCAAGATTTTTGCGCGATCTGTGGGGAGTTCTGATCGCTAAAGCGATCAGGGGCTCGAATACAGGCTATCCTATTGGCTAATTCAAAAAAATCCTCAATTCCCGTTGGCTGGATTTTTTTGATCGATCATACCGTTCAGGCTAATAGTATGCACGGAAAGGTCTATGACGTTGCTGGATCTTTCTGATCTAGCAGCAGTATTTATGTAAATTGACTGAAATATTATGTAAATTTCGTCTCTTATTATTATACGCGTGCCCGCCGATTTTATAGCATGTGCATTTTATGGCAATCGGAATATTTATCAGAAGTTCTAAACTAATACTAGCCGTGTCTGTTGGTATTTACGAAACCGCAAAGGCTCCTTTAGAGAAAGATGATCGACAATATCTTAATCGAAGCGTTCTAAAGACTTATTGAGCGCTGTGAACAACACAAGTTTCTTCCTCGCACCGCGAAATTATGGTGCGGAATCTTACATCGCGAAGTACGTTCGAGAGAAAACGAAATAAGTTTTGTACGGCCTTAAGCAGGTAAATATATTCTATTTTAACTTGATATAGCATCATAGCTGTTCTAGGCTGTAGTGGTTGCGCGTCTGTACGTAATAAGAGATGAAATTTTATACATAATATTTCGGTCAATTTACATAATACTGCGGCTTAATACAAGCTGTTTCAGTTTGTTTATACTTTGTTTATGCCTCTTGTGGAATGTGGGCTTTATATATTGATCAGATACTTAAGAATACCGTATTATTTATGCCTAGTTGTCTAGTATATTAAAACTACAAGCACATGACAATGTGGCATGGCTTTGTGTAATACGATCTCTACAACATGTATACAATAAAAGTAAAATGCATCATGTTGCCATTGTGAATACTTATTCATGGCACATGTTTCTGCTATAAATAAAACTCGAGAAGCAGTGAATTAAACGTGGAAATTCTCTTTCTGCGAATTAACAATCAATCAAATGTTTTATAAAACTACATCGCTATATTTGAAAATCTTTTGACCATTCATGTAAATTAAGGACAAAATATGGAGTTATGTGTTTCCTAGGCATGCTGACGAGACCGGAATTGGGCGAAACAGTCATTTTCACGTAACATTTTTTCGCAAAACTGGATACAAATTAATTCGCTTTGCGACCCCCCCCGTTAAAAGAACCCCCCCCTTCGATGTTCAGCAACGAAATTTTTGACTAACGTACAAAAAGTCCTAGATCCGCCCCTGGGTAAATGAAGTGATTTGTGCAGTTATTAACGCAATTTTATGCAGTAAAATTACAGCTATATAGGTGGGAGCGGATCACCCATTGGAAATTATTTTCAAAAGTATATAGTTTTTCCTCCTATTACCTATGAACCCGTTAGAGTTACAAACAAAGAAGAATTTTATTAGCAGAACAATTTTATATCAGCATAATTCATTATAATTATCTCATTCGTATACAAAAAGTACAGGTTGTGACAGATCACCCATGTATAAGAAAGTATTTTTCAAAAGCACAGTTTCTGTTCAGTTATCAATCAATTATAGAGTCTGACGTAAATATAGTTATAAATATAGTTGTAGTTGACGTAAATATTAAATAGTTATATCGGACGTAAAGGCAGCGTTCCATGCAGTCGCGCATTTTTATAAGCACGTAAAGTTTAAAGGTTTTTAAATTTAACACTGTAGCATCAATTACCTGCACAAATGCACATTAAATCATTCACAAAACTATATGCTTTCCTTTTATTCATTCAGTTATTTCATGAGTAACATTTAAAGATATTTCAAATTTTCCGTGCGTGTACGCACGTATGTAAAACGCGTGACTGGAAGCAGCCTTTATATCTGACGTAAATATAGTTATATCTGACGTAAATATAATTATTTCTAAGTATAAATAAAACTATTATTGAACTAAATGCCATTAAACCGAATTTTAAATGAACATTTTATTTCAAAATCAATTAATTCCCAAATTTTTGAGGAACTATAAATTTAAAGGCTTCCATAATCTGTCCGTCTAAAATTCTGCTCAACAGCAAATGGCCGTGGTTATGGAGTTTATCGCCTGTATTCTAAAAGCTCACTCACCCTCTCAATGAGTGGACTCTCATTCTGAATGAGTGCAACTCACCACTCAATGAGTATCCACTCACAGTCACATAGAATAATTATCGAACTATTCAAAGACACATTGGACCATTCTCCAATTAACCAAAATTTTGATCTCAACAAGTCTAGACAAAATTCCATCATAGCATCAAAGAGCATCACAAAATTAGTAATATTCCAAAGTTTCGTTCCAAAATGTTGTAAAATGCGGATAATATAGCTTTGCGAAATTTGAAATTTTCAGTCATTTTAGATTACAAACGGGAAATGGTTACCACTTTTCCAAAATTTTAATCTTTACTAGCCTAAACAAAAATTTCATTACAGCTTGAAAGAGCATCACAAAATTAGTAATATTCCAAAGTTTCGTTGCAAAATGTTGTAAAATGCGGATAATATAGCCTTGCGAAGTTTGCAATTTTCAGTCATTTTGTATTACGCACAGAAGTGGTAACCATTTCCCGTTTGTAATTTAAAATGACTGAAAATTGCAAACTTCGCAAGGCTATATTATCCGCATTTCACAACATTTTGTGATGCTTTTTCAAGCTGTAATGAAATTTTTGTCTAGACTTGTTGAGTTCAAAATTTTGGTTAATTATTGGGGACTGTCGAACACGAACACGAACAACTGAACAACTGAACTGAACAACTGAACTGTCGAACATGCTGAATTCAGATCCGAAAACTTCCCGCACCGTAGACCCGCAGTTTTCTCACAAACTGCTAATTTTATTCGCTAATTCCACAAAAATACTTTCATTGTTCAACGACACGGATCCATGGCGACACACGATTATATCACTCAAAACGACCAATTTCTATTAACCAGTCTTCTTTTTTACAAAAGACCATTTTGCTGGAATCATTTTGAGTTATGTAATCTTATGCCTGTTGGACGTAAACAACATATCTTGTCCACAACTTTGAGAAGGTACAGATAACGCCTTCTAAAACCCTCACTTCTAGCGATATCTCTGTAAAATCACAAGTCACTGGCCTGAAAAATATCTTTTTTAACGCGATCAAGGTACTATTTAAAATAAAAGTAATGCGAAGCCAACGTAACGGAAAAGACAATGATAAAATAAAATATTGTCGATTGGTTGCTGGTAGAAGACCTACAACATGCAGGATCAATCTTAAACAACCTTAAACTAGAAGAATAAATGTTCACATGCTCAAAGTGACAAAGATCGGTGCCAAAGTATAAAATTCGCTCTGCAAACTTACAATGAAGTGGAGAAATGTGTGCATAAGCTGTTTATTTGGTGATTTTAACGTATATGGCAGCCCTCTTTCCAATAATATTCGCTTATCGCACAGATTAACACCAACTGATGCAGCAGTTCAAATGCAATGATAAGTTACCTCTTGAATTACATCTCATAAACTGTGTTGGAAATGCAAATACTGACCCAATTCCATCAGATTACCGTTTTACATCGTTGTATAAAACATTGTGATCGCATGCAAAAGTCTGTGAAGCATTATTTCTCATCCTAGAGACATAACCCAACGACTTATATCATTGACGTCCTTGTGATTTTATCAGAGATACAGCTAGAACTATGGATTTTGCAAAGCGGTATCGGTACCTTCTCAAAGTTGTAGATATGTTGTTTACGTCCTACGCTCTTAAAATTACAAAACTCAAAATAATCCAAGAAAAACGGTCTTTCGTGCAATGCAGAGACTGGTTCATAGGAATTAGTCATTTTGAGTTATGTAATCGTGTGTCTTCCAATTCATCCATCCGTGTCGTTGAACAATAAAAAAATTTGTCGTAAAATTGGTGAAGATAAAATAGCAATTTGTGAGAAAACTGCGGGTCTACGTTGCGGGAAGTTTTCGGATTTGAACTCAGCGTGTTCGAAAGTGTTAGTTCCCATATAACAATATTTCAGGTCCAAGACATGCTTAATAAAAATCGTTTTCTAGGCACTTTTTCAGGTCACAGCAAACGGCCTAATTCAAATTAAAAATGACATGCATGTTGAAATTACTTGTCTGTCTTGCCTCCTAAAACTCAACATTTTATTATTACATCAAATTAACGATACCGATATTTCCATTTTAGTACCGATAAGCCCATACCGATACACCACCCAGAAATCATGGTTCCACAGCGAAATTTTAACCCATAAAGTTGCATTTCACCCTACTTTATTGTAAATTTCTGTCTAATGCCAGACGTCAATTTTATTTGTGAGTGGAAGTGCTGGTGCATGGTTAATTGGTTAATCTGACCATGTGTAAATTTTTGTTTGTTTATTTTTTGGAATTGGATCAAAAAGGTGGTTGCAGGTATTCAGATCCTGGAGTGCTGTGAAATGGCCCTGCTGACCTGTTGGGGCATTTTATTGGGTGAACATCAAATGGTGTGTGGAGTGAAATGAAATGAAATTTAGATTCAATGTGACTGATAGAGTTGGAATGGTGTGGATACTGATAATTCTAATGAGTTGTGTTATGATGATGCATGGACTGTGATGATGTTGGTGAAGCTCGATTTATAATGTAGACAAACAGTGATGATACTGGTGATATATAAATTGTAAAATGGTATATAAAGTGATGCAAAAGTTTGAACATTTAAGCTAAATTGATACATGAATAATAAAACTGCGTTGTGTATGACTTGATTGTTCTTGTGATGATCACGCAGGCATATACTTATATACTTATTGTCTTTACCAATTAAGCGTCATCGCTCTCCACTTGACAAGTAAATTTGTCTGGCATTAGACAGAGTAAAATCCATGAATTAATGCCAAATAATTGTACTCTGTCTAACGTGAGGCAATTTTACTCATCAAGACTGAATTGCAGAGCGCTAGTGCATAATGTATTAATGGTAATTTATAAGGCAAATCATAAATAATCTAGCTTTGTATCCATGCACATTGCCTTTTTATCACATTTCTGGTAGCCAATGTTGAATGAACAATATCCACTATTCATAATTGATACTTTTGAGTGCAGAATGGAAGGCTCTGCTTTAAGGTGAGTTGTTGGCACTAACTTACACTCACACTAATGTGTAATCATCTAAGTCAAGATTCTGGGATACAATCTACCTATAAATGAAAATCCATTCTCTATAATCACACTCACCATGTAGTAATCTTAAAGTGCCTATGCGACAATTTTTTTTATGATTGAATTCCAAAGTTCATTTAAAATCATAGTATAACTTGTTTTCTGAAACTTTGTAATCTTTCCTGTATGTAAATATTTTCGACTTTGTTTGATATACAAATGTGACTTAAATGACGTCACACTGCATAATGCGTTTTACAGAAGACTGTGTTGTAGCTTGTTAAAATTCTCATTATCTCAAATTTACAGACGAAATGATCGCTTTGATAGCTCTTAAAGTATATCACTTTCAATGTCAATGGAATTATCACATGTTTGACAAGGAAATGTTTTCTTTCTAAAAACTCATTATGAAGTGTGACGTCATTTAAGTCACATTTGTATATCAAACAAACTCGAAAATATTTACATACAGGAAAGATTACAAAGTTTCAGAAAACAAGTTATACTATGATTTTAAATGAAGTTTGGAATTCAATCATAAAAAAAATTGTCGCATAGGCACTTTAAGCAGGTTTCCCTTGTCGGTAAGTTGGCTGTAATATAAACTCTACAAGAGTTTAGGTTGGAACTCCTTCAAACTCGAGCTAGCAAAAGTTTATTCTATTTACCATATTGTGGGCAGCACTGCTCTGATCTGCCACTCATTGGCCTGAAAGACCTTGGAAATCCAGGAGAGGGGTGATTAAAAGAACAGAATGCATAATTAAATTGCCTTTAAGTGGCAATGTGCCTAGATGCACCCTACTTTATTATTTTACTCGGTCTAACGTCAGACGATTTTTCTTGTCAGAACAGAATTAAATAAATTTAATTAATTCTATATGTTTGGTTAACAATTTTCTGATTCAGATAGATAACATATTATGACTTCCTCAAGTTTAAATTAATACTCCCAACTACTCATTCCATATTTTGACTTTTAGGCTTGTAGCAATCAGCACCAGCAATATAGGTTATGTAGTCATATTATTCATATTCACATGTACTTTTACACTATGTGGTTTCAAACATGCTTTGGGGTTTTGTCAAACAAGTGCAACCCAGTATTTACTATAATGTGTTTATTCAAAATTTAAATTGTCGGTTTTAACTGATATTTGACGACATTGAAATGAAGTAATTTTAATATAAAAGGTACGAATTCTCGCGCGCGCAAATGCCGGTAAAATATTTTAGCAGCCATGGCAGCCACAAATGGACGTTATAATTACATGATATAAACAATAATATTTCATACCTGCATGAGATCAAATAAGCCTTTGGCAGGATTTGGGGTCACTTATGTAATACAAAATATGACGAAAACCTGTCAAAACCATGCTTTTTTTTATTTCTTCATCGAAATATGCTCAAACGAAAGATTTTCCTAAGATGGCCTTTAAACAATACCGGTCGGTTAGATTAGATTAGGGTTATAGTTAGGGTCACGTTTATTTTTTTAAGTGTATTATATTCAATTAGTTAAAATAATACCTTAATTAATAATTCGCGCGCAAATTCGAATTGTGTCAATGCTAAATGCTGAGCCGCTGACATGATCTGATATGATCGCGGTCGAGGGTCACACAACTCATTGCGCGCGTGGTCCTTGTCTTTTAAAATAGATACATCAAAAAGCGTTCCGAGTCAATCGCTGCCTAAGATTGTGAAGCATAAATCTGGTCAAAAAATGATCATAAAAAAATGGTGAAAATTCTTATAAACAAATAATGAAAATAGATTCTCTAAAAAATTATATGTCAATTACCATAATATAAAAATTTTATGATTTAATTACGTATCGCATGTCATAACATGTGATGGCATGTCAGGTCATCGCAAGTCTCGGACCATCCATTTCATGGACAAGAACTTCTACGAGACGTCGCCTAAATCTGGCTCCATATCCGAAATTAGTCCCTGTGTTACTATACTCACACTGAAGAAAAGTAAGCTATATGAATTTTAGTCATTTAGAATAACATCCCAATTTGGCCCTGTACTTGGCCAAAACAGCACTAAGTATGCGGATCAAAACAGCACTAAATATGCGGACCAAAACAGCGCTACATATGGGGATCAAAACAGCACTAATTATGGGGGCCAAAACGGCACTAAGTATGGGGATCAAAACAGCACTAATTATGGGGGCCAAAACAGCGCTAAATATGGGGATAAAAACAGCACTAATTATGGGGGCCAAAACAGCACTAAGTATGGGGATCAAAACAGCATTAATTATTGGGGCCAAAACAGAACTAAATATGGGGATCAAAACAGCACTAATTATGGGGGCCAAAACAGCACTAAGTATGGGGGCCAAAACGGCACTAAAAATGAGGGCGGCCAAAATAGCATTAAGAATACAATCACGTACCCAGAACAATGCCTGTGCGCGGGCTACGATGGCATTGGCTCTGGGGAAATTGAATTTTTCCTTGGCTGTGATTGGTAACGTTTGTCAATCGTGCATGCCGACAAACAACCGGAACCCCTAAATTTAGGGGTTCCGGTTGTCAATTTCCCCAGAGCCAGTGCCTTCATAGCCCGCGCACAGTCATTGCTCTGTGTACGAGATTGTTAAGAATAGGGATCAAAACGGTCCTTGAGTTGCCAAAATAGCCCTTGTGATCCGCTTTGGCCCCTGTTAGAGCCAAAACGGACCATGTTTTAAAAAGACAAAATGGCCCTATATGGGGCCAAAATGGCCCTTCTAAAATTACTGTATACAGCCTGTACAGTATACACAGTAATTACTGTGTATACAGGGTGTTTAAAAAAAAGGAAATCGAACTTCAGCGCGCTATTATACGTGAATCACTCGGCGTATGAACAATTGGTTTTCATATTCGGAAAGATCAAGCTTTTAGCTCTTGAATGACATGCTTTTCATACCAAGTGGAGAAAAAAATAATGAGCATGTACGAGGCCGATCAAAAATGTTAGTCAAAATCGCATATTTTTACCTCTGTGCCTAATTAAAACAATGCATAACAAAAGAAAAAGCAATTAATCATGAAAGTGTCGTAGCTTAGTAAGATTTATACCTACTTAATAATAATTATGAATATGTGCGTCGTTTATTGAAGTGAAATTCATCAACTTAAGTACCAATGGTTTTAGACCCAACTCTCAACGGTGAAAATATGCGATTCTGACTAACATTTTTTATCGGATTCGTATTCAGAGGCGCCGGAGAATCGATAATTGGGGGGCAGATATTCATATATTCATGTTCTGCCCAATTAATTTCTTTTGAAATCGATTGTTTTTACAGTCTGTGAACACGAATATATGAATATCTGCCCCCGCTATTATCGATTCTCCGGCGCCTCTGTTCGTATTTGCTTATTTTTTCATCCATTTGGCATGAAGAAGATATCATTCAACAGCTAAAAGCATGATCTTTCCGAATGTGAAAAAATCTCGTTCATACGCATAGTAATTCAGATACAATCGCGCTGAAGTTCGCAGATTACGTTTTTTTATACACCCTGTATATTTAGCAATTATACGTACCATGAGCTCGAGTCGTATATGAGCTGATAGCCGACAAGGTGCGTAGCACCGAGTCGGCTATCAGCCACATACGACGAGAGCGAATGGTATAATCGTTTTATAATATAGTTTAATAGCCATTACCTGAAGCAATAATTAATTATCCTCTGCTACAATGTCTTGACAATTTGTTCGGCCAAAAACCGCTTGGCTTTGAAAATTTAAAATACTTTTCTTTTTACAACTCGAAGACGAAGTGAAAAAAATGGTTTTAGAACCGGTATATCTCACAGAAAACTCAGATATATTATACAGATGTTTGGTAGTATAGTAAGTGCTTGTTGACTGCAAATTCATTTGTCTTTCGTTGCAAACTTTTCTGAACAATTTATATTCTCAATGAACATGTTTTTTTCGCTGTTGTTTCGGTATTAATTTTTAAAAAACTTGTATTTAAACTAATTTCTATGTAATAAATGTATTTTGCTAACCTGTCAAATTTTTTTGAGAGTTTTTCCTTGTACTATTATCTTTCTCAAAGCGAATATTTTCCTTTTTTCTGCTTCGCAAAACTCGTGTAGTGTTTGGACCGCCATCTTGTTTTTCGCTACTCGCCGTATATGAGCTGATATACGGCGAGTAATTCAACCAATCAGATTGCAGAACAGCTCATATACAGTGGATGACTATATTATAAATATATATATATATATATATATATATATATATATATATATATATATATATATATATATATATATATATATATAGATTAATCACTAGGCGAAAAGCCATAAAGGTATATAAATTAATCAACACATAACGTAACGTTTCGACTTTATTGTCTTCATCAAAAATGAAGACAATAAAGTCGAAACGTTACGTTATGTGTTGATTAATTTATATATATATATATATATATATATATATATATATATATATATATATATATATATATATATATATATGTATATACGGTATATATACAGTATTTTAAAATGGCCATTTTGGCTTTTTAAGACCGGGGCCAAAACAAAACGTTTCCGAAACTAATTTAATACCGAAAGCTTAGCCCCGCGTTTCGTGTTCTAATTAAAGCCAACTGCTACATCTGGTAAAAATCATGAAAATAAATACATGTACAGTATGCATGCGAAAAACTGCTCTTTTTCACGTTGGCACTTCTCACTATATTCGTCCAATCTTTGTTCTATGGGCCGCAAATAAATATTGTTTTCCGAAAAATTACCGACCATCACATCTCGCGGCTGGACATGTAAATATCATGTTTCACGAAGAGAAAAATGCATCATTTCACAAATTTCAAAACAAATAATTGTATTTCACAGATCATGAAAATACCCTTTACCACCTAATTTGCAAGGATTAATATATGTTTACTTGTAAGTTAAATTATGTTATGTGTTAAGCTGCAGCAATTATATCAAGTTTAATGTCATAATCTATTTATCTTCAAGCATGCAGTCGCATTATATCTACAAAAATTCGTATTTTTCACAATTCTAAATTATTTAATCTACAGGGTGTATAAAAAAAAACTGAACAGATTTGAAATTGCTCTCAATTTCGCAAAACACCTATTTGTATCTGTTTTTTATATATATAGCTTCTTTGGGTACTTATAATGTAAAATAATGAAAAAAATTTCTTGAACTCAAATTTTGTGAACCAGGGGGGTGTGTCTTTTCCAACAAACTAAAAATGGCTCGCGCACAAAATTTAAAAGTTCTAATAATATTTTGAGGTGATAGATTGAAATTTTGTCGGGTTTTTAATTACTGTACAAAATTTCAGACAATTTGGTTTAGTTTAAGCCCTTTAACTATTCATTTTGTTCTAAAAAGTCAGCCTTTCGCATGCTTAATTAATGCCTTTACCTAATTTGCATATTGCTGACATATGCAAATTAGGCAAATGCATTAATTAAGCATGCAAATAGCTGAATTTTCGGGAAAATTGTAACTTTGCGTGAATAGTTAAGGGGCTTAAACTAAACCAAATTGTCTAAAATTTTGTACAGTAATTAAAATCTAGACAAATTTTCCATCTG